CTCTCTCTCTCTGTCAAATAAATAAAATCTTTTTTAAAAAAGCAGAAATCAATGAAATAAAAAATGATGCCAAGAATAGCAAAAACAGTATAACTGAGTACTAAAGACAAGAATTTCCTTGAAAAGACAAAATGAACATCCTTTAAAAGACCGGTAAAATATATACCAAGCAAATAGCAGATTTTAAACTACAGGATTAATTCAACTCTGCAGAGCATCAGAGGGTAAGCAAGAGCCAAGGGTCTCTCCCAGGGGTAGGGAGAAAAAGATCGTGAAGTAGAACTAAGATTTTTAAATATAAAAATACTATTAGAGGGATGCCTGGGTGGCTCAGCGGTTAAGGGGCTGCCTTTGGCTCAGGGTGTGATCCTGGAGTCCCGGGATCGAGAACCACATTGGACTCCCTGCATGGAGCCTGTTTCTCCCTTTGCCTATGTCTCTACCTCTCTCATGAATAGATACATAAAATCTTTTAAAAAATACTATTAGAACAATATACATGTATATGAAAGTTATCTACAGTTGACCTATATGAAATGTACACATTTCTGGAAAATATGCTGAAATCGACACAAAAGAAAAAAGAAGGCCTGAACAGACCAATAGGATGTGGAGGAAAATGAACCCTCATGCCCTGCCGATGGGAATGCAAACTGGTGCAGCCACTGTGGAAATCATTATGGAGTTCCTCAAAAAGTTAATAATAGAACCACCCCACGATCCAGTAATTCCACTACTGGGTATGTATCTGAAGAAAATGAAGACTCGAACTGGGAAAGATATCCGCACCCCCGTGTTGCCGTGGAGGGGAAGTTGGGATTGAGATAACGAAGTCTGGACCAACTGTGGTTAAAATACTCTACTTTTGCGATTTTGCAACAGCACAGACACATTTCTAGGCCCCTCCCAGGATCCCGGAGAGGATAGCAGACCTGTATCTGATAATAGCACTGAAAATCACAAAGGCCTCAGGCATTAACAACAAAGGCCCAAGACCACAAAGGGGGGGAAAAGCATTAAACTTTACAAAAATCGTTAAATGAAAGACCTAAATAAAGAGAAATACTTTATCCATGTTTGGAATGACTTAATTTTGGAAAGATGTCTATTAGCCCCAAATTAATTTCTACATTCAATTAAATTCCAGAAGGAATTTTGGGGAATTAAACAAAGTGAGTATAAAATTTCTATCGAATAATCGAGATCCACAAATAGCTAATCCAATTAAAAAAGAAGCAACAAAGAAGCAACTTGTTCTGCTGATAATCAAACTGATTACAATAAAAGCAGTGTGTTATTGGCATAGGGACAGACAAATAAGCAAAAGGAACAGAATAAAGGGCCAGAAGCAGACCTAGTCACACATAAATAAACTGAATTAAAATAAGTCTAAATAAAAAACCACAAGGGGACTCCCTATGAGAGAGATAGCGTTACATATCGGTGAGAGAATGAGTGATTTTGTAAAAGTCACCAGAAAAAAATGGTTCACTTCTTTGGAAATGAATTAAGTTGGGTTGGTGCTTAACACTAGATTTTTAAAAATTCCCAAGTAGAGAGAGTCCTACATGTGAAAAGTAAAATTATAAACACAAATGAAAGAAAATGTATTAAAAATAACTTGTGAAGCTGAAAGTGAGCATTTCTTTGAAAACAATTTAAAAAATAACCAGACACAAACCATAAGGAACAAAATAAATAGATTTGGTCACATCCACATTAGAGATTTTTGTTTAAAAAAAACCCACAACGGTATAAACAAAGTTAACAGGGGAGCAACAGACTGGGAGTAGATATTTTTGGAAGTCTAAAACTGACAAAGGTTTATATCCAGCATATACAAAGAACTGCAAATCCCTAAGAAAAACACAAGTATCGGGATGCCTGGGTGGCTCAGTGGTTGAGCGTCTGCCTTTGGCTCAAGTCGTGATCCTGGGGTCCTGGGATCGGGTCCTGTATCGGGCTCCCTGCGGGAAGCCTGCGTCTCCCTTTGCCTGTGTCTCTGCCTCTCTGTGTGTCTCTTATGAATAAATAGATTAAAATCTTAAAGAAAAAAAGAAAAGAAAAACACAAGTTTCAAAAAGAAGAAAGGAAAAAGGGATATAAACAGGCCATTCATAGAAGTGGCCATTTGAAGAGCTAATAGCTACATAAAGAGTTACTTAATTTCCTTAACACAAATTAAAATAAGGTATCATCTTACCCCCTCAGACTGGCAAAAATAAGAAAATCAGAATTCTATCAGAGACTAGTGAGGAGACGGGAAAGGGAAGGCCTTCAGTTCCTACTGGTGGAAGGTGTAAACCGGGCACGGAGAAGCACGGGTGGCCTGGGTACTGAGGGTCTGGTGCCCCATCGCTGCCACTCACACACTGGGGGTGTAGGGCTCCGCAGGGTCTTCCGTCGGTGCACAGTGGACACGTGCGGGCAGGTGTCAGTCGTGGTCACGATCTGAGCCAGTGCCCTGTCCTTCAGTGGGGGTGGCGTAAAGAGCCTGTGGCATTGTCGCATGATGGCATGCCACCCGCAGTCAGAGGTAACGAACTGCGTCTCTGTTCAGCAACTGGGGGAGATCTTGCAAGCAGCCCAGAGGGAAGAATTTTAAGAACCGGAATGGAATTGATAGCGTGAAACCATTTATGTAAAAAATTTTTTAAGGATTTATTTATTTATTCATGAGAGACACACAGAGAGAGGCAGAGACACAACGAGAGAGGCAGAGACACAGGCAAAGGGAGAAGTAGTCTCCCTGCTGGGAGTCTGTGCAAGACTCGATCCCAGGACCCCGGGTTCACCACCTTGAGCCAGAGGTAGACGCTCAACCACTGAGCCATCCAGGCGCCCTGAAACAAGTCATTTTAAAATGGGAACACTAGTCTTTTCTGGGAGACCACTTCTGGAGCCAGGGCTCGTCCTCTGGGGTCCCAGGTCTCATTAGGCTCCCTCATGGCCTCACCTTGAGGATACTGCTTGCCTCTCTGTTTGCATTTAAAAGCAAGAGAGAAAAAAAAAAGTAAATGAGATCAGAGGTAAAAAGCAAAAGGATTACTTAATAAAACAGTAGAGATCAAAACAGTAAAAACAGAAAGCTCTGGTAAAAATACAAAAAGCTCCACTGGATGGGATCATAAAGGGCCAAGTGAGTCTTTTGTCTAAATTAAAATAAGCCATAAAGTAAGGAGCCCAAGATTCGGTGCGTGGAGCTCCCAGAGGCTGCAGCTCGGGGCCGGGCACCGGGGGCTCTCCTGCCTTCTCCCTTAGGCTCTGGACCCCAGGCCAGATACTGAGATACCCCACCTGATGGGGCAGGGCTGATGGAGAGTCTCTCCCCATGGAGTCCACAGTTCTGGGCTGGGAGCACGTTCTGGCCTCCCAAGTCACCTTCCCTGACCTCTGCTCCTGCGTCCACCTGCCCTTTGCCCAGGTGGTCTCTGCCCCCTGCCTCCCTCCTGTGCTCCTACCACACCTGTCGGCCCAGTAGGGAAGGGCAGTGTCGCAACCTGTCCCTTGCTGGCCACAGGACCCCGGGGAAATAGCTGAGTCTCAACGGCCTTATCTCTGAAATGGGGAGAATCATCACATTGGCCCTGCCTGCCTCCCAGGCATCCTTTGGAGCCCCAGGACACTATGGGAGGCTGAGGGGTTTTGCTGATGGAGGATCAGTTCATGAAGCCTTAAGTGAATTCCCACCCCGACAGAGGGAGTGCATTCGGTTATCCTTGAACTGAGTGCTGGTAACACCCAAGATACCCCCTGCATGCCTGGAAAAGTGTGGAGGTCATTAGTCGGTGCTTAATAGGTATTGATTGATTGATTGATCAAAAGGGCTTGCATTCTCATTGTTTTCCTGCCTCTCCAGCCAGGCTTGGAATTCTTTAGAAGATAAACCTCTTCTCTCTGCTTCCCTCCCTCCCATTTGTCCCATCAGTTATCAAATACTTGAGCATCTAACTATGTTCCGAGCCCTACACAGCCCTGCCCTCCGAAAGCCTGCATTCTGTTTCTGGAAATCAAGGAAACAGACAAATAGCAGAAGGAAATGCAGATTCTGAGAAGTGGAGTGGTCACACAAAAAAGATTGAGACGGGAGCCACTGGGGAGGGTGGCCAGGGTGGGCCTCTGGGGAGGGGGCTTCAGGGTGGGTGGCAGGATGGCCACAGTGGTGGAGCTGAGGGAGGAGTGGTCTAGTGAGAGGGAAACAGGTCTGCACTGGGCCCCAAGGTGTCAAAGCAGGGAAAGGTGGCCTGCAGGACTGGAGCAGGAGGAGGCAGAGGGAAGGAGGTGAAACCCGAGATGGAATCCAGAGCCAAATTATGTGATGGGTTCCTGTGGGCCAAGAAAGGAGCGTGGATTTTCTTTCCAGGGCAATAGGGAGCCACAGAGGGAGTCAGGGGAGCAGTGTGATCTATTTTATACTTTTGAGACACTTTCTCTCTGGGATCGAAGAGCATGTTAAACATGGTGAGGATGGGGTAGAATGGTGGGTAGAGGTGGGTAGAGGGGTAGAGGGTGGGTCAGAATGTGGGACTTCCTATGGGACACCAGGTCTGGGGGAGGGAGGGGACAGTTAATGACTCAGAGGGCTCAGGACACATGGGCCAAATGCAATGGACCAGCCTCGTTTGCATCCTGATTTGAACAAACCAACTATAAAAAGCCTTTTCTGAGGCAACTGGGAAAACACAGATTGAGTATTAGATAATACTGAGGAGCCATTGCAAATTTTGTTAGGCGTGTTAATGGTATGGTAATTAGGGGAAAGGAAGAGAAGTCCTTATCTGCTAGAGATACAGATTGAAGTCTTTGCAGGTGAAATGAAATGATGTCTGAGATTTGCTTTAATATACGGCAGGAAAAAAAAATCTGTGTCTGGGAGAAGAGATGAAACAAGATTAGCAAAATGTTGATAAGTTTTGAAGCTGGGTGATGGTACATGGGGGTTCATTATACCAGCTTCTGAAATCTTCTGAAAAAGTGAATTTTTTTTTTTTTTTTTTTAGTGGGAGGAATTGGAAAGAAACCATCTGTGGACACTCTGCTCACCACCCCACGCGGACGTACTTGACCGGGAGCTGAGGACTCAGACAAACCTGGGGCAGCTTCCAAGCCGGCTAGTTGCTTTCTGTTACCTTCAGGTACAGCCACTGTTTCTTATCTGTAAAGTGTTGGGCTTTTAGAAGTAGTAAATAGTGCACCTAAAGCCCAAGCTTAGTTACCCAGGCAGTGGTTACTACTATTCAGTTCCTGGTGGCCATCATACACGTGGTGCAGATGGGCCTGAGGCCCAGCATGGCTGGATTCTGGAAACTTCCCTCAGGGATTAGCCTCCCATATCTAGAAAGCTAAGGCCAAATACACGCATTGGGGAGCACAAGCCACCAGACATGGGCACGCAGCCCTGGCTTGCATTTGCACACCTGCGCACACACAGACACCCCTCCATGGGGAGGCCTCCTCCTGGCACAGCCTGAGCAGGCTTGGAGTGTGACCTCTAGGAGAGGCCGGGGTGGTCCTCCACCAGAGGGCCAAGAGTGAGATGAAGAGGGTCGTGCTCAGAGGAGACAGGCTGTGTGGCCCATCAGGAGACTGGGTAACATAATGGAGGTAAAGGGGGAGCCATGGGGTAAGCAAGGGGCTGAGGAGACCCTGTAGTAGGAAGGGGGACAGGCTGGGACCTTGGGACCCTGCAGGAGGGGCAAGAGGCAATGCCTGCTTAGAGAGTCTTCAAATACAGGAAGGACAAGGAAAGCAATGGCCAGACTACCAGCAGCATGAAAACATTTGTCTCCCAGGGGCCTGTCTGGAGTCTCTGAGGGAGCGAGAGAGCGAGCGGCTATCCTCAAGCCCCTGAGAGAGCTGGATGACCTCACAGGCCCCTCGCTGCCCCCCAGCTCTCCACATGACAGGCGCCTCTGTCTTTGTGCTGGGGCCAGAGGAATGCAGGCCGGCCAGACCCCGGAAGGCCCCTCCTCTCTGTCCTGGCTTTTGCTCTGAGAGCCATGCAGCTTCCAGAGCCAGGAAGGAGACTCTTGGATCAGAGAGGTAGCCCCTTGGGGGTGTGCGGGAGGGTTAGCCCCCACCTGCCCGGGTAGCAAAGATAATCAGAGTCCTCTGCCAGAGAGAGACAGGGAAGCGCAGAGGGACCTGTGCCTGAAGGATGGGGAGTGAGGGAGAGAGGGGCAGCAGAGGAACCTTCTGGAGCTCAGGCTTGGGGGGAGGAGCAGGTATGCTGGGGCACCTCCAGCTCCCGGGGAGAAAGGCAGGGAGGCAGGGCAGAGGACCAGGGCTCCCTCCCTGCGCCCTCGCTTCTCCCCACTACAGGCACTGGGGCAACAGGCTCTTCGTGCAGTTCTCATCCGTGGGAAGACACTTTTATTTTATTTTTTTAATATTTTATTTATTTATTCATGAGAGACACACAGAGAAAGAAGCAGAGACACAGGCAGAGGGAGAAGCAGGTTCCATGCAGGAAGCCTGATGTGGGACTGGATCCTGGGACTCCAGGACCAAGCCCTGGGTTGAAGGCAGGTGCCAAACTGCTGAGCCACCCAGGGATCCCGGGAAGACACTTATAATCAAATCCTGAGTTGAGTGGCAGGAGGGAGGAGGAGACCCGTTCTGCCTTCGTTTGCTGTATTTTCCAGAGAACAATCTGGGGAGTCGCTAATCCTGCCCACATCACATTAACACCAATAAACCACCCTGATGACTCCCACTCTTCAGTTGTCAACATTCATGAACTCCAGAGCCTGGTGCGACTTCCAAGTGGCCTCCCTCCCAGTGCAGGCCTGGCAGGAGGAGCCGGTGGGGGGCCCCGCCCTCGGTTTGCTCTAAGTCCTTGGGGTCTGAGTGGGGGCTCAGAGCCCCCAAAGTCTTGCAGGCACCTGTGTTGGAAAGGGGGCTTATTGGCTTCTCCCAATCCAAGAGAACTTGTCTCCTCCACGGCCCTAGGAAGGCACAGTTTCCCTGCTGCGGGGTCTCCTCACCCCGTCCTGGTGGAGTGGGGAGCACCTTGCAGGAGGCTGAGGCTTCCCTAGGCCCGCCAGGGCTGGGGGCTGGGCTCCTTTAGTAGACCAGACCACTAGGCACGGCAAGGTGGTGGTTTTTTTTTTTTAATGTTTATTTAAATTCAATTAATTAACATATAGTGCATTATTGGTTTCAGAGGTAGATTTGGTGATTCATCAGTTGCATAGGACACCCAGTGCTCATCCCATCACCTGCCCTCCTCCACGCCCATCACCCGGTTACCCCCTCCCCCCACGCCCCGCCCCTCCAGCGACCCTCGGTTTGTTTCCTCTGGTTAAGAGTCTCTTTTGCCACCACAAGGTTAAGTGGTCTGCTCAGGAGCATGGCATCAGGGCGGGGAGTCCGATGAGCTCTTATTTGCTTTGGTCTACCACCAGACCCGCCTCACCCCAGGGCTCACCCTGAGAGCCTCCAGGGCTGAGGAACAGCTTTTGGGAAGTCTAGCAGCTTCCAGGAGCTGAGCCTCCTCATGTGATGGCTGCAGAATCACGTCCTGTCCCTCTGGATTTCCTTCTGGGGGGAAATCTCTGTACCCAGGGGTGAAGGTGGACATCCCAAGGTCGTAGTGATCATAGGGGCGTCTAGGAGCAGAGCCCCAAAACCACCACAGCTTTCCCTCGAAGCAACTTTCTTATCTGAAAAAATTCAGACGCCTTGGCCTTCTGCTCTACAACATGTGCCTCTTTGTTTTAAATTACTTACCAGTTAACTCAACTTCCTCCTGAGAACCTTTGAATAAGTTCACATTCCAGGAGGTGGGCCATGTTTGGCGGGTGTCTCCATGTGCTCCCCAGAACCGTGAGGGACTTAACGAGCTTTAGTTTGGGCAGTGAGGCTTCGAATGATCTGTGTGCCTGTCTCACTGGCTTGCTGTGCTCATGTGTAGGAGCACTTTTTATCTGGGGTGGGAAGGTCTTTATTAAGGGACTGTCGTAGTTTCCTGGGACTGCCATAGCACGTTACCACACACCAGGTGCCTTAAAACAACAGAAACAAAATCTGTCACAGTAAGGAGACCAGAGGTCTGAAAGTAAAGTGTTGGCTGAGCCATGCTCCCCGCAACACTGTAGGGCAGGATCATCGCTTGCCTCCTCCACCTCCTGGTGGCTCCAGGTGTTCCTTGGCTTGTGGCCACATCACTCCCACATCTGCCTCTGTCTCTACATCACCTTCTCCATTAGTTCAGAAGAGGAGCGATCCAGGCTTGCCATGATGGAGTGTTTAGGGAAAAGCAGCCCCACCCCACCTTAGAGTTGTTGAACCTTAGCCAGGTGAGAAGAAGGTGGTTCTAGGTTTTAGAGGTAAGGGGGACCCTTACCCTGAGACCCAGCGTGGAGCCAAGGGTGGCTGGCAGATGAAGAGTGACAGGGTGATGATAGCATCAGTTCCTTGGGCTCAGGCTGGGGGTAGTTAGGGCTGTGCTGCTTGGAGCAACACTCTGAAAAACTGCTGTGTCCTAAGAAGCCCCCCATCCCCACAGGGGCCGTGACATCAGCTGGGGCCTCGGTCAGTTCCCTTCTGTCTCGGCACTTTGGTCTGAGCCTCAGGGGCAGCTTGGTTCGTAAGGAATGTGCCCCCTGCTTCACAAGGCTGTCTCCCCTGCCACAAGGATGGGTGAGGGGTAGGCAGGCACCCCCGGACATCGTGCGCTGCGGGACAGGTGGCTGTGGCATGAGGAGCTCCAGCTCTTGTCTCCTGGGCTTCCTGGTGACGGGGATGGAGTCAGCCTCCAGGTTTCCTTCAAGACACTGGGAAGTGCCATGGAACCAGCATGGGTGTGTGCCTGGGTGCTGGTGGGGGCGGGAGGGATGGGCTGGGGAGAGGCCTGAGTATTTGCTCTCTGAGGAGAGACCCATGCAGGTTACCTTCCCCTCACGCTGGGTATGGGCCACTCTGCCTACATGATCGTGCTCTACATTTGAATGCCTGTTGCCCCATGAAAACATCCCCACATCTGAGGCAGCACACCTATCCTAGCAATGCCACGGTGACTCAGGGCCCCTCTTAGACTCCTTCTGGGCACTGCCATCAGGGCTCTTTTACAGCAACCAGACGCCTTGCTGTACAGTCACTCCTCGCCGTTGACCTTGACAGCAGCCCACAGCCTGATGGGTCCCTGTGTGCCAGGCTTGGCTCTGGATGCCTCCTGTTTAAAAAAACAAAAAAACAAAAAACAAAACATCTGGTGCATTCAGTGGTCTTCAGCCAAAGCCTTTGAGAATCCACAAAGGCAGCAGGTATTTGCTGTTTGAGGATGGGTTTGGGTTTTGGAAATGATGTTGAGGCTCTCCGAGCTGAGAACCGTGTAGCAGGGAGAGCTCTGTAGAGCAAGAAGAGGGGCTCCAGAGGATCTGGTGGGCTGCCCAGCGCCATCCTCAGCTCTCAGCCTGTTGTTGTGCTGCTGTGGCACCTCTGGTAGCCATGGCAGATGTGGCCTCATGGTAGCTGGCTCTGCTTGCTACCTGCTCTGGTGTTCCCTCCCATCCCTTGTCCTGGTGGGTTTTGCATGGTTCGCAGGGGATCCCCGGCAGGACTGAGCTTCATTTGCCGCCACCAGTAACCAGCTCACTTACCTTTGGCTTGGCCTTTCTCCTTCCCTGTTTCTCTCTTTCCACCATGGCTTGTCCAGGGATCTCTTCCCTAAGGAAGGTACCTGCATGGAAGACTACACTTGGGGGACCCAGGCTGACAGCTGCCCTGTGGGCTTTCTTTTGAAGTTTTATGAATGAACTCTTTCAACAGAGCCTGACAAGTGAGTCATGCATCTAGTGATGTGTGTCCTCAGGCATTGTCTCATGGGCCTTTTTTTTTTCTTGATCCCCCTTCTTATTTTAAAAAACAGGTTTATTGAGATCTCACACAGCATACAACTTGCCCATTTGAAGTGTGCAATCCAATGGTTTTTAGTATATTCACAAAGTTTTGCAAACGTCACCACAATCAGTTATAGAATATTTCCATTATTCCACAAGGAAACATGGTACCCATTAGCAGTCATAACCATTTCCCCCTCAAACCTGCTCCCTAGCCCAGGTAACTACTAATCTATTTCTTGTTTCTATAGATTTGCCTATTCTAGATGTTTCATTTAAATAGAATCATACAA